TAAATAAAAAATTAAATTATATAAAAAGTTTAAAGATTTCTTAAATTCACTTCGATTGAAAAATAGTCATTAAAATTTTTATATTAAATTATTTTTTATATTTAATATATAAAAATTGATTTATTTCACAAATAAATCAGATAAATAAAAAAATTCAATCAGATAAATACATAGAGAAATTCCTACAAACACAAAGAATGTTGATTAATTTTTTCATAACAATTAAAATTACTAATTTGTCATGCTAAAGGCAATTCCAAGATTAAAACTTTCACGGACCTATTAAAAAAAATGTTAAAATATGTTCCTTGCAGAGTTACAGCTAGCACCCGGACAAGTGTTAAACTAAATTTATGTACAATTTAAACAATAACTTTAAAATACTTTCATTCAAATTAAAAAAATATATAGTTTGACAGTTACCCGTAAGCATTAATCATCTAATGAACAATCAAACCAAAGAAAACATTTTTTTTATAAAAAAAGTAAACAACATTTAACAAAATAATAGAAATTCATCCAGAACAATTAATCTTAATAAGATTAGAATTACATATGTTGTAGTGAGTTAGTTGAGGTACAGTACATGTGTTTGGAGTAATTATTTTGTTTTGGTTGGTCGTTAGGTCGACCTCAAGTGGTTACCTCAACTGAAACCAAGGTTACTGAACCCTCTTTGAATTGCATCTAGTTAATAACAGGAGATGAAGAGGAAGCAAAGGAAAAACACAAGCACAGGGCAAGGGACTGTGATGTTGATGGGGATAGAGAGAGAGAGAGAGAAAATAGGTGATGAATAGGCTACATGCTAGGGCCATTTACTAGTGCTTATGATCGAACATGACAAGGCTTGTTCCGTTGTGCTGTGTAGCAATAACATAACAAAGCCCTCAATTTTCTTCTGCCTTTGAAAAGAAAGATGTCCCTGCTGCTGCCACAAGCCCAAGTAAGCACCCATCACATAAGTGTCTTTCTTGTCAATTTAGAGAGAGACAGCCTAAGACCCTGCAACCCCCCATGAATGGAGAGAGAGAAAAACAATTTGAAAAAACTTTTTTTTTCTTCTTTTTATATTTTTTTTATTTTTTTTCCTGTCTCTCACTCTCACACGTGTGAATGAGGTGTGATTTGTTAAAAGAATAGAATAAATAGTAGTAATATAATGACAGCAACTGGTTAAATGAAGAATGCCAGGATCATTGCCTCAGTCTGGGTACCTAACTACTTCAAAGTCCTCTATTTCTCTCCCTCTCCCTCTCCCTCTCCCTCTCTCTCTATTTTTTTTCATTGAACCAATGGTTTCATTACTGAAGAATCGTGTAGGTATCTGCTAAAACACTTCAATGCTTGAAGTTTCAAACTTGAAAAGTAAAGCTCTTTTTAACTTCTGCAAAATCTGCCTTCTCTCCATCTTTTCCCTTCATTATCTATCTGTCCTGTCAAACTTTCCTCTCATGTTACTCCTCATCTTCATCGCATAAATATTCTCTCTTTTTTCTCTTGCAACTTTGCAATACTTTGTAAGAGTGTGTCGGATATTCCTATATACCCTTGTCCATCTTTTGGTAGAAAATGAAGGCTTGGCCTGCAAGTGCTGTGTACTCTTCACAAGAGAACACTTCTTCCTATTCTTCTTCCTCTCCTCCAATGGGAATGGTCTATGCTGACATGGATTCTCTTTCTCTTTGTTCCAACTATGGTGTGGTTTCGTCTCACCAAGACTGCTATGTCTCCAATGGGGGCACAAACTGGGGTCTGCCCTTTGTGAGGGAATGCCTTGGGAGGAACTTCGAGGAACACCCCAACAGTGATGGAGTGGAAGAGGGTAAAGGGTCTGATAGCAGTGATGATGCGGGTGGGGAAGACAGTGAGAAAGTTAACCATAATGCTAATAACTTTAGCGAGGAGAACCCTAATGAGAATTCTCTCACTGGTTCCGGCCACTCCAAGCTCTGTGCAAGAGGGCATTGGAGACCTGCAGAAGATTCCAAGCTCAAGGAACTTGTGGCTCTTTATGGCCCTCAGAACTGGAACCTCATAGCTGAGAAGTTAGAAGGAAGATCAGGTGTGAAAACTAGTGCAAAATGATATCATATAGATATAATAATCTCATGCTTCATTTCCTTTTTCTGTTTTGATGGAGTAACTTTTATACTTTTTTTTAATATTAAATCTCTTATCTTTGTTTTAATGAGATCTCATTGTGGGGTGTTTGTTTTGTGTGTTCAGGCAAGAGTTGTAGACTGAGGTGGTTCAACCAGTTGGACCCAAGGATCAATAGGAGAGCATTCAGTGAAGAGGAGGAAGAGAGGCTAATGCAGGCACATAGGATTTATGGCAACAAATGGGCCATGATTGCAAGGCTTTTCCCTGGGAGAACAGATAATGCAGTGAAGAATCACTGGCATGTTATTATGGCCAGAAAGTACAGAGAACAGTCTAGTGCCTACAGGAGGAGGAGGCTGAGCCAATCTGTTTACAGAAGAGTGGAGGAGAACACAGAAAGCAGCATTGTCTCTAGAGACATAGCCACTGCAGGGACAGAACCACCACCACCACCCTATTGTCTCAATCTCCCCAATGTAGCACTTGCCAACAGTAACATGACTAGTTTTCCATATGCTGCTGCACCCTTCCATGGAGTCGTGGCTCCTAATGGTGGGGTTGAGTTTGGCTTAAATGCTGCCAAAGAAGCAATCTCAACCACCAAGCTGGCCCCTCCTCATATTGCCTTGTATCCTCAACAAACACCACTTGATTTCATTTCAGGTGTGTGCTTGCCTTCTAAAATCCTCACTTTCATGCTTCTTGTTATTATAACTCACAAGCTTCATTCACTACCCTTCAACTCACTTTTCAAACAAAGTTGAATATCCAACTTTTCTGATTTTCCCCATCTATCTTTTTGGTCTACAACAGTGACTGTTGCAACCTTTTTGCATGTTTAAAAATCACACCTTATATTTTTTGGTCACTATACTCAAGCTTGACACTGGTATATGGACATGCAGGTGTTAGAAGCAATGACTACTTTGGGCAGAACAGATGCTGGGAGAGGCCTAGTGATGCAGCACCCCATCAGCAACCATCTGGTTTCTACCCTCACTACCCCCAATATGTGATGCTAATGCAGCAGCAGCAAAACTGCAATCACAACAACTTTTACGGTTTATCAAATTCCACGGCACAAATATTGGGCAGTGAAGCCTCACTATCAGCAGTGGCAGAACACAGAGATGGAGCCGTGAGTAGTGACCCCCCAGATGCAATTCCACCTCCATTTATTGACTTCCTTGGAGTAGGAGCCACATGATCAAAGTTAGAACCGAACAAAAAGCTGCAACCTTCCCCGGAAGCTCCTCAATATAGGTGTGGTCCAACATTACTGAGAATCCATTCGAGGTAAACAGAAAGGATAGTTGCTTCAGTTTGGTGACTGTGTTCCTTGCGTCACTTCTGTGGAGAATCACACTTCACACCTATCTCTGTTGTGATTTCCTTTCTTTTATCACATGGGGACCCCTCTAATAAAAATAATAATATAATCAAATTTCATTGCTATTACCATAACCCTTCTCTATTCATTTGCTTCTTTTTTTAATTTTTTTTTTGCTTTCTATATTAATCCCTATGGTTAAATTTGTCGACCAGCCAAATGAAGATCGAAACGGATATTAAATGTGTCCGAGACATTCGTTGTTACTTAGAATACATGGCTAATTCGTTAAGAATAGGAAGGTACTAATTAAAACAATTTAGGAGACAGAAGGACTGAATAGGGTGATACGTGTAAGAAGCTAGGAAAGGACAGAAATGGGTGGTGTATAGTCCTTATTTTTAAGGATGCTTTTGGGATGCAAATATTATTGTGTAAATAGTTTTGACTTTTGGGTACAGAAAAGTGGTTTTTGTGAACTGTTTTGAGGGAATGATGATGGAGGAAGGGGTTGTGATGTGGAACTGTTGGGAACATCCTTTTCTCATGGGCCTGTGATGCAATAACTTGGCACAATTTCAGCAACTGACTCCATCCATGTATATGTGCATTCAACATGCTTCCCCTATCACCACAATCACAATCTCTTTGAATATTAAATCATGCATTCATGCTACTCACATGGGTGTTGTGGCTCTTTTTGGGGGAACTATGGATCCTAACAAACAAACTTGGTTGTTTGGAAAAGTATGATACATTCGTGTTAACTGTTTCAAAGACCGACTTCGTAAGCCTATAAAATCAGCAAAATCTCACCATTAGTGCTCAGTCAATGACTATTGTCATCAAAACTATGTTCACACAATCTCACTGTTTCTTTTTTAAAGTACATTAAGTAAATTTTCACTAGAGGAATGCTACAGACATCACATAGAAGTTAATAAATTTATTGAAAATTAAATAATTATTAGTGAAATTTGTTAAAGTCACTTTTAATCCTTATATAGAATATTGAATGTGCAATTTTAAATCCTAGCTAGAAAACATTTATCATAAATTTAATTTTTCTTTAGTTTTTATAATTAAATAATATTGTTCCATCATTAATGTGCTATTTGAAATTAAATAAATAATAATAATGTGGAACATGAGTAACATTATTTGATGAATAATTAATCATACAAAAATAATAATATTAAATATTAAAAATCAAATTATTTAAATAAATTATTAATTTTAACTAAAAAAGGAAACATAACATATATAACAAAAAGCAATGTTTTTTTATTAATATGAGCATCCTTGAATAATTGTCAAATTTTGTCACTCATTTTATGTCAATATTTTTTATTTAATTTTAAATGATATATTCATGATAGATCAACATATATTGTTTAATATTGGAAATTAGAGAGACTAAATTTGAAATTAAAAAATTTAGAGACAAAAACTACACGTTTGTGAAATTATAATATACTAAAAATGAAACATAACATATGTATAGTAAAATTCAATGTGTTTGTTTCCATGGAAGTTAACATGGTTGATTAATTGCTAGATAGTATCACACTCAGGTTCTACATCATTATTTTTTTGTTTAATTTTAGATGAACAAAATTTTTAGATGAAATTGTGACTAAATTTGCAATTAAAATTTTTTAGGGAACAAAATTACACATGTATAAGATTATAAGGACCAAAAATGTACTTAAGAAAAAATATTAATATATATAGTAATAAAAATCAATGTTCTTTATATGAAAGTCAACATGTTTAAGTATCTGTCTCACATTGTCACTCTACATCAATATATTTTGTTTAATTGTAAATGATATATTCATGGTAGACCAACAACACTTAATTTTAAAATCTAGAACACACTAAATTTACAATTAAAATTTTTTAAGACCAAATATGTAATATGTAACACCCCAATTTTTTTAAAAAGGTACTTTTGTAATTAATGGCATTTTGTAATTTTAATAAAGGAATAAGAGTATTTTTGTAATTTTATTATTAATGGCATTTTTGCAATTTTATTAAAGTTTGAGGGGTAAAAGGGTAACCTGGAACGGGCTGTTCCAAAATTGGAACGGGCCGTTCCAAACAATAAAAATATACTGAAATTTCAAGTTGAGAACGGGCCGTTCTGCTGAGATTGAGAACGGGTCGTTCTGGTTTCAGAACGGGCCGTTCTGCTTTTTGAAAACGGGCCGTTCCGATATTAGAACGGGCCGTTCCAGTTGAGAATTTTACGCATATTTGAACGTTCCGGAACGGGCCGTTCCGAAATCAGTACGGGCCGTTCCGGGTGCGTCAGATTGCCTATAAATAGGAGGCAGGGGGCTGTGAAAAAAATCATACAGCCAGAAGTGGAAATTTAGAGAGAGAAAGAGAAAGAGAGAGAGAGAGAGAGAGAGAGAGAGAGAGAGAGAGAGAGAAAGAGAAAGAAAGAGAGAAAGAGAGGGAAAGAAAGAGGGAATCCAGAGGGGGGAGGTTCTGCTCAAGTTTTAGCTCCTACTTATCCAGGTAAGGGGGAGGAGAACCTTATCTCTTTAAAATTTTATCTACTCCTATTTTTATTTATTTATTTTTTTTTTTATGTATATTTATTTAGTGGGGTGTCCCTAACCTCATTTATTTGCTTAACCTTTGATTATTTTTGTCTATAATAATTATTAAGGTGTTCATATTTTATATTGTTTCATTATTTTATAATGATGGTCATTTTTATTTATATCATTGGTATTCTTAATATATTCTTTTTACATAGATATATTTATTGTAAATATATTTATAATCAACTATGTTATAGTTGTGATATCTTGGACTCGTTTTGTTGTTATTTCTTCACGTATTTATGAAGATAAATATTGTTCTATGGCCATAGAAGATAAAGTTTGAATTATTTGTAGCTGGAGGTTTGACCTTGGGGATTTAAATGAGTAAGAAATGAAGGTGAAATATCCTATTGTTGATTAAGGTGAAATATCCTTTTATTGGTTGATGTTATGATGATGCTCATTTATCCTGACTAGTCACTACAAGTATAATTCAAATTTTATTGTATCATGAAAATTTAATATATGATCTGTATATATATTTATATATATATATATATGTGTTTAATATTGATTATAAATAATTCTGTATATTCTTTTGAGTTATTATATTTATTGGATATTGTTCTTACTCCTTTCTTTTCTTTGTTTTTATAAATTAAATATATTACAAAATAGATGGATCTACTTTGGATTCCAGATCATTTTGCAGTTGATATAGCTGTGGTATTCCTTGGAAGGAATTGGAATGTGGAGGCTATTTGATGAATCTATTACAATTTTTGTAAATTTATTTTCACTATCAATGTAAATATTGTAATAAAAGTGAAAGAAAAATATATTGTGTAAAATAATACATTATTGTAAATATTTTAGAACGATATATCATGTATTAAATTCACAAAATATGATTGTTCTTTACCTTTATCTTTATTAAAAAAAAAATATATTGTTAACGATATAATTGTGAAAATATTATATAAGAAAATATATAATTATTATTATATAAATTGGGCGTTAGAATCGGGCGTTACATAATATTTGTGAAATTATAAGAATTAAAAATGAATATAAGCCTTAAATAAAAAGTTAGATTTTCATAATTATATATATATTTTTTAACAAATTTTAACCAAAAACAGAAGTGTAGTCAAAATAGTACTAGAGTGTATTGTTGAAAAAAAATTAATTACTCATTTTGTCCTTATATCTTATAAACTTTATATTTTAGTTCTTATAATCAAAAATATTTTTACTCCTTATATATATATACTACTAATTTTGTTTCTTTTTAGTTATGCTATCTATTTTTATAAGAATTGAAAAATAAAATTTATAAAATTATAAAGATTAAAAGAAAACAAAAAAATTATATGTATAAGAGTTAAAATGAAATATTTTTAATTATAGAAAAATTAATCGGTAAAGTTGATAAAATTATAAAAAGTAAAATATATGGTATTTTAGACCTTTTAAATAATTTTCTTTTTTGTCTTTCATTTCTTGTGAAATGTTATGTACTCTAATTTTTTCATTATATTATTTGTTAAAATTTATCAAAACTTACTATATCTTGTATGATTTATTAAATTAAAAGGAAGATTCATAATATATATTTTTTAATTTTTAATAAATTTCTATCAATAATATTGCAAAATTAAAAAGGGTATGATAAAAATATTTTTACCCTTTTATTTCATCTTAACATTACAAGTATACATTATTTAAGTCATTTTAAATTCTTTTCGCCTTCCATCTTACTAAAATGTTATGTATTTTATTCTTGAGTAACATGTATTTTTACTTTCTCTATTTTTACTTTAAATAGAACTTAAGAATAATTATAAATCACTTATTTAAACTATTTTAAAAATTAAAAGTATAGTGTATTTTCAAATTAAAATGACTAAAGTATAATGAAAAAAATTAGGACTAAAATCACATTTGAAAATTATTAAGGAAATTAAAAATATATTTTATCCTTTAATCTTTTATCTTTATTGATATAAAAGTGAGTATTAAATGAGAATTAAAAAATCAATAATTAAAAAGTTAATTGAGAAGATTATTGTCAACTGTAATCCTATAAGATGATAACTAGTTAAAATGTGTAGGATTTTTTTAGAGGAGGGTGTTAATAACACTGATGTAACTTTTACTAAGTATTACACCGCTTAATAACTTTATATTAAATGTAAATTTTGTAAACTCAACCGTTAGATTGCAAGTTTTTTACTCTTAGATCATATAGATAAAATTTTATATTAATCCAAGATGATTTAATACTTCATTCTTATAAAATAATATTGACGTGATATATACATTTTAAAATATATTAAAATATGAACACTTTAATTACTTTTAAGTTATTCAATTTTAATAAAATTTAATATAAACATATATAGTGATATGAACTTTCAATCTGACGGTTAAATTTACAAAATCAAGTTATTAAACAGTATAATATTTAATAAAAACTATACCGGTGTTATTATAATTTTTTTTTTAAGTATAACATAAGAAAAAAATAAATTCTTATTAAATATTTGTGT